GTCCTGGGATCAAGCCCCGCATCGGGCTCCCTGCTCAGCGGGAAGCCTGCTTCTCCCTCTCCCGCTCCCCCTGCTTGTGTTCCCTCTCTCGCTGTCCCTCTCTGTCAAATAAATAAATAAAATCTTAAAAATCAATAAATAAATAAAAGCAGGTCACAGGAAAAGGGAAATACTTTTCAGAAGGAAAAAACCCAAATGCTTTGAGCTGGACATGATCTCAGAAGTCATCTACTTCCTCAAGTTCACAGAGCCAGTTAATGACTGAGCTGGGACTACCTAAAGGTCTCCTGATATTTTTTTTTCCATCTTCCTCTCTCTCACTAATGGGTAGAATTGTAGACATCGGGGGGTGGGGGGAGACAGAGAGTAGTTTTCATGCTGGTGACTTTCCTTCCCTGCCTCTAATCATACTACATGCCTCTGAGACTTTGTTAAGGGCACTCTGGTGGCCTGGAAATTGGGCCTCTAACTATAACACCAAAAAAAGTACACCCTGGATAAAGACTCTGTAAAATGAGGGAAGAACACTAGGGGAAAATTGTAAGCAGCTTTTTTCTTTTTCCTCTTCTCTCTAGTTTCAAAAAAAAAAAAAACAAACACCTCAACCAACCAACTAACCAACCAAACAAAACCAAAAAAATGCCACCAGAGGTATAAATCATTTTAGGGTATGAACATTGTAAAAGTGAGGAGTTGGATTTTCTGGGTTGATTCAACTCAGCTGCCATGACAGATAATGAGAATTGAGAAATGGTCCCTGTGAGAACTGTATTATGAGTATATGCCTTGGATTTTAATGTTGTCAGTTGGAAAATGCTCCTAAAAACAAGCTAAAGGAGGGTAGTTTAATAGGAAATGTAAAAAACACAATCTGCCTTGAATGCTATTACTCCCCAAAGGGTCAGACATATTCCTGATCAGTGACACATCTCAGAATGCACCCCATCTATTACAATGGGCCTTCCCTCTTCTGAAAGGACAGCTATGAAACTGTCCCCAAACTTGTTGTCACTATCCACTGTCAAAACCAGAGGATTAAATATTTCCTGAGCTTCCCAGAAAGGCAGAGTCCTATTGCTTAAAGAGATTTTTGATCTTTGTGCTACAATGGTGACCTTTATTGATTCTGAGTTAGGGACATCCAGAAATTAAACTTGACCCCTAGCTGCAAGAAAAAGACAAAAGTAAGAAAAGTACAAATAAAAGTATTTTGTCACAATCAGTTAGGTATCAAAAACTTAGAATTCATAAAAAAATCTAGAATTGTTCATGTGGTAATATACATGACATGAAGGAATTAAACAATGATGGAAGTCTTTAGGTTCAGAAGCATAAAACATGGGAGTGAGTGACTGACCCCTTGCACCTGAGAAGCAGCAGAGCATCATGGGAAAGAGGACAGGTTCTGAGATACTGACGTGGATAAGTTACTTAATGATAAGCCCCAGTTCCTCATCTGTAAAGTACAGATCACAATTGTAAGTATTCATAAGTTTATTACGAGGATTAAACAGGTTAATATGTGTAAAATGCCTGAATTAGACTAAGTATCCAATAAAAGTTTCCTGATGTTATTGTTATTATTTTTCCCTGCAGACTGGAGTTCACATTGCTTTTATTCTTGTTTATATTTCTTGCAAGGACCAGTCCAGTGATTTCTTAGATCTTGCTCTTGTAAAAATTAATAAAGGGAGGCTAGAAGGGGAATTCTTACCATTCCATGTCAATTACAAGAAGAATTGTCAATTATAGACCCCAACAGAAGAATCACCAATAGGAAAGAATCATCAATTATAGGCCCCAGCAGAGAAAGATATACATTGTATCCCCTAGGAGAAATCAACTATCTCTGCAACTCAGCCAATGAGAAATCATCATCACCCTGAACTCTTGCTTTTCCCCAGCAAACTTTTGTTCAAAACAACCCTTCCCAACTTGTGCTCCTTCTCCAGAAAGTAATGTTTCAGAAACTACTTCTGTCCTACTCTCGGACCCTGTGTTTTGGGTAGAATTGTCCTAACTCCCAGCTCCTGAATGTCTAGCCAACCAGACCATTCCACCCCCCTTAACATGCTGATTAGTTTAAGACTGGGCAGATGACCCAAATTAGGACAATGAGGTGAAATCCTGGGGCTTTTGCTAGGCTTGTTCAGAAAGCAAGAACTGCTAACCTATTAGAGTATAAGTCTAGAGGTACCAGTGGTTACCATAGGGAAAGCCTCCCTGAGAATGGATTGAACACAGAGGAATGCAGAACTGAGAGACAGATGGTTCTTTAATTGGATGTTTGAGTTCCTGGGTCCAGCTGTAACTGTAGACACATACACATGCACACTTTACAGTTTTATAAGCCAAATAAAGTCTTTTTTTTTCTTGCTTAAGTCAGTTTGGATTGAGTTTCTGTCATTGCACTTGATATCCTGATCAATAATCCTGACCTAGGAAGAAATATGAACCAGGCAGTGCAATCTAATTGCTCATTTGTATATATATTTTTTTCACATTTTCCCCTTCTCCTCTTGTATTCAGTGCCTTTATGCTCTTGGTCTTCCTGTTTATTTTCTCCTGGGAAATAATCTGAAAATGTTTGCCCTTGATGCTACAGGGTGAATTTGTGTTGCTGTGTTATTTTTCTTAGATATTTACATTTGAAGCCTTACATTTAGTCCTACAATGAAAGGCTTTGTTCCTGTTAAAGGACTTTAGCTTTAGATAAGTAGGTATGTCAAAATTAAAAGAAACCTTAAAAATGTATCAACCAAGTAACAATGTGTAACTGTTATTTGGATTCTAAATCAAACCAATAGTTTTTAAAATAAAAAATGATATAATCAGGGGAAACTGAACATTGGCTGGGTATTTGTTATTCAGAAATAATTGTTAAAATATTTGTGATAATGCTAACGTAATTTTTAAAGAGTTTCTATCTTCAGAAGATAAATATGTAAATGTTTTTGGATAGAAAGATACAATATTTGAAATTTGCTTCAAAATATTCCAGTAGGGAAAAAAAAATTCCAGTAGGAAAAGGGTGAGAGGAGAGGAGGTACAGATGAAACAAGATTTGAGATAAGTTAGTAATGGTTGAAGCTGGGGTGATGGGTTGAGCATGGGGTTCATTATCCTATTTTAACTTTTTAAGTTTGAAATTTTCCAGAAATTTTTTAAAAGTAGTAAGTAGAAATGGCCAAGGTTGCTATTTGCCTACCCAGAATCTATGCTCTCCTTCTCCCTTACAAACCGAACCCCTATATGGTTGAGGATGCAATGTAACTGTCTAAAAAAAAAAAAAAAAAAATTAATGATTTTTTTCTTCCGGTCTCCCTTGCAGATGTGAATGACCAGTGGAAATCAGAGAGACGCCATTGGGTGTGGCTTCCAAAAAACTCTTTAAAACTCTCCGACCCTTGCCTCTTCTTTTCTGCTGCCTTAGACCAAGATCTGAGGAAGGAACTGTCAGGGTCATCTTGCACCACAGCCAAGATGCATGATGCTATGGATGGCGGCGCCAAAAGACAGAAGGAATCTGGATAGTTGATGACTGTGGAGCTGCCACACCAGCTCGGGGATACTTTCCCTTTTTTTTTTTTTTTTTTCCCAACAGGGAGAATTAACCCTTTTTCTTAGTTTAAATTTGTAAATGCCCTTACAGAGGCTGTAAACTCTACGAAGACAAGGTCCCTGTCCTTAATCTCACAAACTGGAGGGCTTTATGGAATTCTCTGGGGTGCTTTTTAGAATATTAGGGCGTGGACCCCACTTGCAGGGTGCCTGATTTCAATGACTTGGTGTCCAGCGTAGGCATTGGAATTTGTAAAAGCTGTCCCTGGTGATTCTAACGTGCCACCAACCTGGAGACCTACTGTTAGAGCTCGTCATGTGATTCCCGGAGCGCGCGGCTCCTGGCCGGGCAGCAGTCGACACGAGATGACTGGGATCACTCGAGACCGCCTGGACCAGGAGGGCCACTGGCCCCGGGTGCCTTGCGCGTCAATCCACCCAGCCCCGCCTTTTTCCCCCGCCCCGCTGTGGCCCCGCCCCGCTGTGGCCCCCGAGAGCGCCGGAACTCGAGCTGCCCGCCTTCCGGGAGCGCCGAGGTGCGCCTGCGCGGCGCCGGGCCCCGGCGGGCACTTTGAATTTCGCTCCCGGAGTCGCGTCTCGCGATCCTGGGCTTCCGAGACTGGGGTCTCGACGGCTCGCGATACTGCAGCGAGTGGCGCTTTGCTCCCGGACCCGCGCCAGGTTGGGATCTGAAGTTGGGGGTCCTGCCCTCGGAGGCAGACGGAAGGCATTGTTTGGGCGGAGTAGGGGCGCGGGGCCGCCACGCGGAGCCGAGGAACCGGGCTTTTCTTCCCACCGCTCGGTTGGCTGGAGTGGATGCTTTAGATCTGTCCTACCCTCGGAATGAGTAACTGACTCCCTTCCTTCACCTCCCTCTGCCTCTGTATCAACCCCAAACCGTAAAGCTCCAGTCCCCCGCAGCATGGGAGAAATGCTTACTTGGACTCGTTTCTTTGCACTTAACTGTGTGTTTTCTTTTTAATTCATGTGTACTTTGCGGTTTTAAAGAAAATTTCCGAGTTGTCTTTATATATAAATAGTGCATTTGTCCCCCTAAATCCCCTGTACCTTGGTTTGGGATGCGTTGATTACAGAAGGCTCAAAGACAAGTCAGTATTAGACTCTAGTTAAAGACTGAATTTTGTAGAATTGAAAGAAATTGAGTTTTTGTACTTTCTTTTCAAGATGTGATTTACTGGATCACCTCTGTGGCCCATTTACTGGCTCACATTACTGATCAATACTGGTAAATACCAGTATTGGATTTTGAAAGTAAACAGAAACTTGTCCTTTCTGTTTTTGTAAATGTTTATTTTTTTTTCTCCAGAGGCTTAAAGGATGGCCTCCTCGGATCTGGAACAATTATGCTCTCATATTAATGAAAAGATTGCCAACATTAAAAGAACTCTGTCACTGAGAAATTGTGGTAAGTAGGACAGATTCCACTGACGTCGTAGATATAAAATGCATTTTAATCATTGTTCCACTTTGACTATCTTATGCCTGGTGAAGTGAAAGGTAATTTTAACTTTCAAATAGTGGTTTTTTGAAGCACTCCAGCATTAATATTTTGAATATTGCAGAGTACTAAAATGTAAGTTATATTGAACAATGAACTGGATATTAATTAGACTTAATCGCTTGTGTTTTTCTGAGATACACAAGGCACAATAGGAAGATTTGAAGGTTATCAAGCATTTGTGGTGTTAAAGCTAAGTGGAGATACTGAAAGGTAAGGAATAAAAATAGAAGTGGAAAAGACCCACAGAGGTAAAAATAGCCCATTATCCATCTCCAGCCTGCTTTGGAGGAAGCTTATCGTTATATATGACTAGGAAACAACCGATTGAAAATGTCCAGTTCTTCTAATGTCCAGAAGCTTGGAGGTTGTAACCATCTTCCAGAATATTCTGAAGTGCTGAAAGAGGATGAGGCAATGACAGTGCAAAGAAATGGGTGATCCTCGTCAAGTCTGGGAAAATATTGTTTACAAAAATTGTGAGCTCCTGGGTCCATTCTAGGAGAGCTTAAGATTTATTTATAGGCAGAATTCTACCTGCTGGGAAAATTGTGGTGAAGTTCAGTGTAGTTTGTACTATGAATTGGTAATTTAAGAAATTTTTTAAAATATGAAATTATAATGTTGAAATGCCCTTTCGAATTATACATGTCCTTCTAGGGACTTTGATATTCTTCATCTCTTGTTGAGAACCTCCAGTAAAGGAACATCATCCATTATACAGTTTACGGCTCACATTCTCTGTAGAAAGTTAAAGCTGAAGGGACTGTGGGTTCATCTTCTCCAGCTCCCTCATTTCACACATGACTCTCAGAAGCCAAATGACTTGCCCAGCTCCCCTATCTCCTAGGTAGTCGGTTGGGACTACAGTTTTGTATCTTGATTCCCAGTCTAGTATTCTTCCTACTTCTATGCCACTTTTATTCAATAACGCAGAAAGGACATCTATAACTAGTCTTGTTTAGCTTCTCTTTCTAGGGGCATGATTACTGTGGGATAAACAGATAAAATTTAGAGACCTATAAAACAACTAAACCTTGAATTCAAATGATCCCACCAAAGCATGAGGACTGGCCTAAGCAATGTGAACTATTAGATCACTACACACTCAGTAACCATCATTTGTATGTGGGGAGAATGATTTGTCTTTTTGGTTCCATAGCTTATTTAGTAGAGCCCAGTAATTTGTTTGCCACGCTGGCTGGAGTAATTTACTAGATTACTTCTATTAAAAGTATTGTATTTGCTTAGTTGATTGTGTTTCTATAAATCAGTAGACAAGGCCCTAAAATTTAGGTGACAAATTATTTGAGATACCAGTGTATCCAAACTAGTTATTTACTCCTTATAAATTAATCTCAATAGAGACATCCATCCTCTTATTTACTTACTAATTTCTTTTAGTTGTTACGAACCTACTGTCAAATGCAATTAATATTGCCCTATTAGATAGAATTATATGCTGCTTGTCATGATGATGATGATGAATAGTAGTTAGCATTTATTGAGTGTTTTACCAGATTCTGGGCACAGTGTTCAACCCATCTTATATGTACTGTCTCGCGTATCTTCACAGTAACCTTGAGGTAGGTGCTGGTGTCTCTGGCTTTAGGTCTTGGACCTTCTGGCCATTTCACTCTACAGCCTCCATAATCTACAGATATAGTCAAATTGTGTTTTTGTTTATTTTTTTTCCCCCCGTCTCCCCAATTGTGCCTTTACTTATGTGTATTTCATTGGTTACTAGAAATAAAGAAGGAAAGATTTGATTATGAGGATAGTTTTTCTTTTGTGCTTTTGATCTGCTCTTTAAAACAAAACTTTTTTTATTACTTCTTTTATTTCTAGGGAGGAGGAGACCCTGGTTTTCCCATCCTCAAATCTATGGAACTAGAGAGGGGTGCCAGGAGGTGGGGTTGGGAGTATGAGAGCATGCTACTTTATAAATGCCTGGTGTTTGTTTCTGTCAAGCACCCCAGGCTTAGTACCAGCCTGTGACTTTTTATGTTACTTTTTCTGTTTAGGACTAGTAAATAGTGTAAATATGAATCTCAAACCCAGGTGCATCCCAAGCCACTACTACAAATTCTGAAGGGAAACTCTCCCCCATCTTCCACACACCCTTGAGAGCCTGTCCAAAACACAAGCTCCTCTCCCTGGCCGCGATTAGAATTTTGAGGTGTACACTTTAACTGAAGGTTTATTCCATGAAGAAGCCTCGTTTGGGATTCTCACTTCCAACACCCTGTGCTTTGAAGTACAAAAGCCTTAGTTCTTGCCCCCATTAAAACCAGATGTGTTGTGTTGCTGAGACTGGCAAACTCCTCTCTCCAGATTTCCTCTGCACCCCCAGTTAGGGCTGCTGCAGCATCAACTCCCACATTCTGCCAGTCTGCAGGTCTGTCTTCATGCTGAAGCCCTTGAGAGTTACCTTATTCTCACGAAAGCTCAGCTCTGCATGTAGAAGTTTTTTGTTTTGTTTTTTTAATCTAACATTTCTAGGTGTTTTATCATAGTAGAAGACTTTGCCAAAATCAAAAGACTCAGGGGACACTTCGTACTTATCTCTCTCTTCCTTCTCTACCGTATTACTTAGAAATGAAGGCTTAAGATAATCCAGGGAGACAGGTCCTAGGGGCTGAAACAAGAGTCCTATCTCCTCCCTAAGTGTCTCTCTAAAGTAAAGCTCTGGTCCAAGAGTTTAATTGGGAACAACTGAGTTAAAGAATACAGTATGCTAATACTTTTCTGTATACTTTATTTTTCATTCCCTCTTTGTTAATAGGTCAGGAACCTACCTTGAAGACTACATTAGGTAAAATAGGAGATGAAATCATTGTAGTAAATGAACTTCTAAATAAATTGGAATTGGAGATTCAATATCAAGAACAAACCAACCATTCACTCAAGGTAATGTTTTTCCAGTAAAGAAATGAAAAGGCAATAGATACAAACTCCGTCATCACCAGGGGATTCTGAAGGATTCTTTAAATTTTTAAGATGTTCTTACCTTTTTAAATTACTAATGGTATAGAGTGCCATTTGCATTGTATCTTCTTAGTATAAAGGACTCCAGAGCTCCACAGGTGTTTCTTTATGCTGGTTGCCAATGAAATTGAACTGTACTAAAAGGAAGATACCCTAAATAATTTTTGGTAGGTTTAATTTAAACAAGTGATCTGGTAGAGTGGTCAGGAACACCTACCCTGGGGCAAGGAGATGCAGATTCTCACCCTGGCTGCCCTTAGCACCCTCTGTCACCCTGAGAAAGACCTTTTACCTCTTCGGGTCTTGTGGTCCTCGTTTGGAAAATAATGAGTCATACCGAACTATTTCTTAGGTCCCTTCTGTTCTGCATTTCTCTGTTCTATAAAATGTAAGGATTCTCAAGTACAGAAACACTTGAGTCTCAGTTGCACACCATTTTGTTCTAAGTAAGCTTTCTAACTGACTAAGCTAATGAAAGTGCTTGTGTACTTCTGGGAAAATACGCAATCTGTACGTAGTTACCTCATGCTGTTAGAGCTGCTGATGTGTTCCGTGGGATTGAACAAGGTGGCCTCCATGGTCCCTTCCAGCCTTATAATCCTTAAGGTCTGTAAAGACTTTTCAGCTATAGGAATGGGCATGAATATGTCTATCCTATTACTAGTTGAAATGAAATTAGTGGCTATGAACATCATTCATCTCTTTGAAAGAAAGACGTCCTATAAATTCAAAACAGAAGCCAATATTAGTTTCAGTTCTAACCTACCCAAAAGTGCCCACGGTTAAGTGTGGGCCTAGAGAATGTTACATTCAGAATTGAAGACTGTTTAGAAGTTTTGTTCTTCTTATGATTGAGAGTCAGACGACAGGAATCCAAAGGTGTAGAGTATTTTTCTTAATAAATTTGCATGAGTTCATAGTGTCAAGTTGTAGTGAAAGGTAAACTAAAGACAACACAAAACAAAAACAAAGCAAAAATTTCCAGTGGAAATTTCCATTAAGCTAGAGTATGTGCAATGGAAGTTGTTCTGAGTAGGTTCTCATACACGCGCTCCAGGCACGCACTTCCCCCTGGAGCTGTTGTACAGATAACACTGGGGAATGTTTGTTAAGTCAACAAAAGCAATTTACCAGAATGACAAACATAAATCCTTCATACATTTTTTAGTTGCTTTCCAATGCTGCAGTTAAATGTCAACCCTCCCTGTTGTAATGTGATTATAACAGTCATTCTCTGAAAACCAGTAGAGAAAGCTACTATCTTGCCATCCAAAAAGAGCTCTAGAAACCAAAGGGTTTTTAAAAAAATACTGCTGCAGTCAGTGCTTTTCCACCTCTTCTGTGTTCTAAACACCCCCAGTCATTATGATTGTGAGTGAGTCTTTCGTGCTCTTTATAACGTCTTAAAACACACACAGGCAGGACAGACACTTACTTGGGAGCATTTTCTTTAAATTTTAGGAACTCTGTGAATCTCTTGAAGAGGATTATAAAGATGTGGAGCATCTCAAAGAAAACATTCCTCCCCATTTGCCTCAAGTAACAGTAAGCCAGAACTTGTAAGTGTATTTATAATTATTCTTGCTGTCTGCATTTATGAAACTGTTAAACACCTCAACTCTTTCTGCTTTCTCATGGACTTGTGGTTTTGTTAGTGATTATGTTTTTTTCTTTTTTTAAAGATTTTATTTATTTATTTGACAGAGAGCGAGAGATTGCGAGAGAGGGAACACAAGCAGGGGGAGTGGGAGAGGGAGAAGCAGGCCTCCCGCGGAGCAGGGAGCCCGACGCGGGGCTCGATCCCAGGACCCTGGGACCATGACCTGAGCCGAAGGCAGACGCTTAACGACTGAGCCACCCAGGCGCCCCCAGTCTTCTTGTCCTGCTGCCTCTGCGGAAAATGTCGCTCCTCTTTCCCACGGGCGAGTGTCTGCTGGGCTCTCTTTTCCCACTTTTTCTCATTTCTTTTCCTTAGAGCAGAGTTTGTCAACCTCAGCCATCTTAGGCCAGATAATTCTTTGTTGTGAGGACAGTGAGGATGTTTGGTAGCACCCTGATCTCTGCCTACCAGCTAGCTGTCACTGGCATCCCCCCACCCCTCCCAGCTGTGACAGTGAAAAATGTCTCCTCACATTGCCATATATCCTCTGGGGGACACATTCTCCCCTGATCCTTGAGAACCACTGTCTTAGGGTAAAAATAAGCGTAATAAATGTCCCATCTTAAAAACAGCCACAGGAACAAAACACTTAGCTTTGCTTTCCCCCCTCAAACTAGTGTCCCCTGTGTGTCCCCCACCACTATATGTTCACACCTCCTCTTTTCCCCGGAGCCGCTCGGCCTGTCCCTGGGCTGCTTGTACTACCACACTTCGGAAACCGATCCAGAAATTCCCCCTCAGCCCTGATCTTTCTTTTCAGATTGTCTTTCTGTGTCTCCTTGTGTTGGAAGTGCTGAGCTCTGCTCTGCCACAGCGCTCCATTGGCAGCCCGCAGCCCTGATTTGGCCACCTCCCGTTTCTCTGCCCTCCTTTAAACTGCGGGCGTCTCCTAAAGCTGTGTGTGGCTCATGCCCCCTCCACCGTGCTCAGTGCTCACAGATGTCCAGCTCCAGCATTGACGGGACCTCTGCTGCTTGCCGGGGGCCTAATACATGAGCTGTCCTCCCAGCTCTGCGTGTTTGAGGCCAAGCTGACCAGGCCCTTGTTAGCCACCCGCCATTCCTGCTGCCTTCCTCCCGTCCCCTGGACAGCAACTGGGTACCTTCTGCCCGTCTTTCTCTCTGTAGCCCTCAGCTGTGCACGCTGCCTCTGCGGGGTTTTGTCTGTCCCAGCCCTCCCTTCCATTCTCATTGGCTGGCTCTGAGTGTGATCTTCCATCATCGTTCGTCTTTGTGCTTTGAGCGCTTCTGTGTTTTGTCCCTCCATGGTTCCACTACTCCCCGCTCTCCAGGCTTCTGCCACCAAAGTTACATTTCTAAAAGGGGGTTCCAAAGGTGTAAAAACATTCCATGCATAACTTAAAATTTTTTAACGTTTGAAATGTATCCTATACATACAGAAAAGTGACTAACAATTATTTGTGCAAATTAAAGAAGAAGAGTAAAACAAACGTCGATGTGTCTACCAGTCAGATTAAGGAAGGCATGAGGCTTGCTGAGTAGGAGAAGAGTCACATTACTGCTGGTGGTTGAAGTTCTCCAGAAGAAGATAAGCTCAGCAGAGTGCCTGGCATGGTCAGGGTCCCCTGCAGTTTCCCTGCAAGAAGAGAAAATGGTGGGCGAGGTCATGAATGAATGCTAGGAACAGAGGTCACCACAGGACATCTGCCAGGATTGTAGTGTGAGCTGGACATCAGACATCCAGTAGGAATATGGCCTGGGGAGTAGGAGGAGTTTTTCTTCTCCTGACCTCACTATGGCTTAGCTTCAGTTTTCAGCCAAGGTCAAAGCAGAACCTTTCTGTAGGTTGAAATGGTTTTCAGCTGATACAACAGGGCATGAAGAAAAAAATCAGGAGCTTCCTTAGCATCTGGTGAAGACAAGCAAGTACAGCTAAGAGTCAGCCAGGCTCACCATGAAGTCTCATACTCATGGAAGGTTGATGGTACCATAGCATTGGGCTTCTTCATCTTGACAACCTACGACATGGCCATCCACAGTCATAGCGCCTTAGGCACTATGACTGGTTGCCCTGTGTCTGGTGCTCAGCTGTCATCTTGGGATCTCACCTCCCTGTCTTTCTTGAGATTCCCTTCACTTGCTTTTGGGTTGGATCTACTCTGTCTCCTGTACCCCATTTCTTTTTTGGAGCAGTCGAGCTGGTATGGCTTTACTTGCTGCTGCCAGCAAGGGTCTGTTCCTTCCCTGGCAGCTAAATAACCCAGAAGCTACAGCCTATTTCTACACTCTCAGCTAGTGGGGTAGAAGCTATATTAGGCTTCTCACTGACTCCAAAAATTGGGTAGGACTGAATCCAAGAGTTCCATGCTCATTGCTGGCAACTAAAATGAGTCTGTAACAGGCAGGGACTGATACTAACAACCAGTGGGATAAATTAGAAAAATTAGAAGTATAAGAGGACTAATGTTTCTATGTCCAAAATTAGGGATTCAGGAAGAGAAGCTGTTTAGTGGTTAAGATAAGTTCGACTTCACACGTATTGACTTTGAGGAGCCAGTGGGTAGCTGATAAAGATTCGGGGACTTAATTTTTCAGCATTCTCTTCACTATTCAGATCTTCATGAACAATAGGAGTGGGGGCAGCAAAAAATGTTAGCTATAAAATTATTTTAACAAGATGAATCTTGTATTTGTTAACTGATTATTTTTAGTTGGGAAGATTTTCTTTTTTTTTTTTTTTAAGATTTTATTTATTTGAGAGAGAGAATGAGAGAGAGAGAGAGCACATGAGAGGGGGGAGGGTCAGAGGGAGAAGCAGACTCCCTGCTGAGCAGGGAGCCTGATGCAGGACTCGATCCTGGGACTCCAGGATCATGACCTGAGCTGAAGGCAGTTGCTTAACCAACTGAGCCACCCAGGCACCCAGGAAGATTTTCTAGTATGCTGTGAAATTCTGATGATCTCTTATACATCTGTGCATCTCTGTCTGCAGTGCTAATGTGTCAGATCTTGACCCTGAAGAACCAGTCAAAGTTGAGGAACCTGTACCCACAAAGAAGCCCCCAAAAGAACAAAGAAGTATTAAAGAAATGCTGTTTATAACTTCTGATGAATTTAATGGCATTCCAGCGTAAGTATTTAAGATAAAATTTTAACATTCAACTCTTTAATGGTCAACATACATGATTGTTTAAATCCTAAAGCTTGATTATATTCATAGCATGCTGTGTTCAAATATTGATCTTTTCTCAAAGTCTTATACAATGAAAATGCAGGAAATCTTTGTTGAAGATGCTTAAAATCATGGTTTTTATTTGGTCTAAAGCTCTTTTCATAACAAGATCTAGAGATGGGTCAGTTTATTGCTGAGTCCTCTGCAGGACCATTTTGTGGTACAGATTTATCCAGTTACATTTTAAAAGTAGCTGTTCTGGGGCGCCTGGGTGGCTTAGTCAGTTAAGTGTCCAACTCTTGTTTTCAGCTCAGGTCATGATCTCCGGGTCATGAGATCAAGCCCTGCATCAGGCTCCACGCTTAGCTTGGAGTCTGCTTGTCCCTCTCCCTCCTCCCACTTGGGCTCTTTCGTGCTCTCTCTCAAATAAATAAACAAAATTAAAAAATAAATAAAGTAGCCTCAGTTTTGCTGTAATTTTAAGGAAATTGTGCTATATAGTTTTGAGAATTAGAATGGTGGGTATTGTGTCTGTTTGGTTTCCATTTGTTCCTCAACTTATGCCACACATTTGTTTGAGTCTGTGTTCTGTTCCAGGCTCTGGGTCACTGAGGAGAACAGTACAGGGGTGAGTAAGACAAGATACCTTCCCTGGAAGGAGGTCTGCTTTGCTCTTTACAGAAGACAGTGATGGAGAGCCCATTATGGAAACTCCTGTTTGTTTGTTCAAAGATTTATTTATTTTAAAGAGAGAGCATGATCAGGGGGAGGGGCAGAGGGGGAGAGGGAGAAAGAAGGAGAGAACCAGACTCCCCACTGAGCACAGAACCCCGTGTAGGGCTCCATGTGGGGCTTAACCTCATGACCCTGAGATCACGACCTGAGCTGAAATCATGAGTCAGAGACACTTCACCAACTGAGCCACCCAGGTGCCCCGGAAACTCATCATTTTAAACTCATCATCCCAGGGCTTTGCCTAACTTCTTGGCTTTATGTTGTTATATTTCTTGTTATGTTTTTATTATATAAGTAATAACTTGTCAGAACATGTTGTCAGAAAATAACTCATCTGTAATTCTACCACCCAGATAAAATGGGAGTATTTCCTTCCAGATTTTATTTAACTTCACATATGTAATAGGTTGTTTCTGATTGTTATTACAACAATGTGGTTACACTGTCAATACAGTTTACTTACTTTTTTTATTATGAGCATTTTGCCATTGTTAACTATTATTGTAAACTTGGGCTTCTTAGTTGTGTTGTATTTCATCAAAATGAGACCGACCTTTCTCTTTAATCTTTATTTTTTGTCAGTGATTTTTTTTTATGGTAGCTTTATTTTCATGAAAATTCTGTTTGATGATACTCAGTTTTTTAAATGTTATTTTTGTTGCTCATTGGCTGAGCCAAAGAGAAAAGCAAATGTCTGTGAGGAACAGTGGAGTAGATGGGCTTTTATATAATGCTTCCAAGAAGAGATAAAGGAAGGAAATTAGGGTAGTCATAGTAGAGTATTCATTTTTAATTTAAGGGGTTATTTACTGCATGGGAGAACTTAGACAATTGGGATAAGGAAGAATATATTCCAAACATGGGGCTTTTATTTATTATCTTTAAAAAATAAATACTGAGGGTTGAGTTAAAGTAGAGAACATTGGCAGAGGGTGGGGTTGGGTATTGAAATTAAGGTGATAGTTCAGAGGATTTAAAGGAATTGCTTTGTGGGGAGCTGTGGGATCAACAGTTTGTGGGAACAGCGGCAAAAATGCATTTAGAAAAGAAGAGAATAGGAGCAGCTAGGTGACTCATTTAAGTGTCTGCCTTCGGCTCAGGTCATGATCTCAGGGTCCTGGGATCGAGCCCCGCATTGGGCTCCCTGCTCAGTGGGGAGCCTGCTTCTCCCTCTCCCACTCCCCCCACCCCACTTGTGTTCTCTTTCTCTCTCCCCCTCCCTCCCTCCCTCCCTCCCTCTCTCAAATAAGATCCTTAAATAAAAGAAAAGAATAATGAAAATGAATGTTTCTTGGTTAATATGAACATTTTCCTTTAAACATATTCACATGTTATTTTATATTATGGAAGTTGATTAGGAAACTGCCCCTCTGAGGAGAGGTGAAGGGCAGAGTTTCACATACTGAATCCACAGTTTGTTGAAGGGAAAAACGGAGGCAGATCGTTGAGTTTTGGTTTTGGTATGTACAGAGAAATCGAGTCTTCTGTTTTTATATTCTAAGACTGTGTGGTGACTGGGAGGATGGCAAGAGGGAGATGCGACTGGAAGAGTGGATTTAGAGAAAGACCAGTGCTCGAGGGGGTAGAGCCCAGAGCTGTGCACTGGCTCCCCTCCGCCCCGCAGCTCGCCCCAGACCCTTTCCTCTGCCATCTTGCTCAGCTGGCTCTCTGTCCTGATCGGAGCTGCGATCTTTGTTGTGGCCTTTGTTGTCCATCTTCCCTCCTCCTCCTCCTCTTTTTTTTTCTTTCTCAGAACAGATAAATTTGCAAAAAACCAGAGTGGTGTAAGTTATGTAATTTATTTAATATTTAAATGTTTCTTTCCCTTGCTCACAAACATTTAAAAATGTTTAAATAAGCTTCTGTCTTGCAGTTAACCAGCAAGAGACCCTATTTTAAATTGTAGTATTTGAGACCCAATTTAAAATTGATGTTACCCTTCTTCCTCTCTAATTTAAGTACATTCTCTGTAGGCAGAGAATGGAGATGAATACATCCAGATAGAAATAGGGAAGTTAAGATACGTTGTGGTTCTTTTTAAATTTTCAGCTGTTGAGATATGTCTGGTTTATTTGGAAGTTGATATACATTTTTTTTAAAGATTTATTTATTTATTTATTTTGGCAGGGGGTGGGGGCAGAGGGAGAGGGAGAGAGAAAATCTCAAGCAGACTCCATGCTGAGTGTGGAGCTGGACGTGGGGCTCCATCTCACAATTCTGAGATCATGACCTGAGCTGAAAAGAGTTGGATGCTCAACCAAGTGAGCCACCCAGGTGCCCCTATACACTTTTTTTTCTATGAGGAGTTCTAATAGCTTTGCTTCTATATAAAGTCATCATACATAAACATTTTTCAAAGTAAATAATTTTGTAAAATGATTCTTTTAAAAATTAATCATATATTTATTTGCAGGTACATGAAATCTCGCTTAACTTATTGTCAAATTAATGATGTTATTAAAGAAATCAACAAGGCGGTGGTTAGTAAATATAAGATCCTACATCAACCAAAAAAGTCAATGAGTTCCGTGGCCAGAAATCTCTATCACAGATTTATTGACGAAGAAACAAAGGATACCAAAGGTAAAAATGATAGCATACATAGGTGTGCATGTCAATTGGAGTGTAACTAAATCGTGAGAAACAAGATGAGTTCTAGAAAATTCTGAATCTAGAGAGGTAGTTCTTAACCAGGAGTGGTTTTCCCACTAGGGCACATTTTTCGCCATCGCTGGAGATATTTTTGATTGTTACAACTAGGGCTGGGGGTGCTACTGGCAGCTGGAGACTAAAAGTAGACTTGAGTACAATGCACAAGACAGCTCCCACGGAAAGAAATAACTAGTTCCAAATGTCTGTAGTTCCAAGGTAGAGAAATGCTGCTTTAGAGTCTATTATGAAACTATACCCAGTGTTTTTAGAATTAGAGTAGTAATGAAAACAGTTGGTCCTGCTTATATAGCACTTACATTCGACAGATAGTGTATTGAGAGCTCTAGTCCTCACATCTTATGAGGTACGTATGGTTACCCCCATTTTGCAGATTAGGCAGAGAGAGCGTCTGTTACTTGCCCAACGTCAGCCAGTTAAGGGACAGAGCTGCTGGGGGTTTCATTCTCTTAACCACTATGCCATATTTCCTCTTGAAAAGTCAATTTTTTAGAAGATACAGACAGATAGCCAGTAATATAAGCAGGGCTACGTTTCTAAAATGCTACAGTAAACATGCAACTTCAGTTGAGAGAATACTAGTCGTTTTAGCAAGAATACCTGTTCTCAACTTTGGGTGCCTAATGCTAATAAAAACGATCAATGTTACTCATGTTCATAATCTAGTGCATTAAAGTCTCATCCTGAAAGTTGTCCTTAATGAAAATTAGTACTAATATCTTCATTTTCAGGTCATTATTTCATAGTGGAAGCTGACATAAAGGAGTTCACAGCTCTGAAGGCTGACAAGCGCTTTCACGTGATCCTGAATATCTTACGACACTGCCGGAGGCTCTCAGAGGTCCGAGGGGGGGGCCTTACCCGATACGTTATAACCTGAAGCACGTGGGATCTTTTGAACTGGCTAACAATAGGGGGTAGAGGCCACTCACATAGTTTCCTTATATGTAATTTCTTTATATATAAAATTTCTTTGGCTTTTTCATTTTCTTTTCTAGCTTCCTATAAAAACGAAACGTTTTAGTAAGTAAAGCATATATATTTTAAAATTCACTTTCTTTCAGTACATATTTAACCCCCTACCACATGAGCCTCTGTGCTAGGCATATAATGGAACTAAAAAATATTCATGGTTAGTTTTTGTGTTTGGTGACAGTGCTGTAGACCTCAGTAAGACAGATACACATGTGATAATGGAAGGAAAAGGTCAAGAAGATAAGGTCAAGCGTACCCAGGCTCCTTTTTTTTTTTTTTTTTTAAGTAGGCTCCACACCCAGCATGGAGCTCATTGCGAGGCTTGAACTCGCGACCCTGAGATCAAGACCTGAGCTGAGATGAAGAGTCAGACACTGAACCGAATAAGCCACCCAGGTGCCCCAGTGAGACCCAGGCTCTTTAGAATTAAAGGTCGTTAATGTCAAAATTCTATCAATGGCATTTCAGTCTACAGGCAAAAGTTGGATTTGTAGGCAGCCCCTCCATGTAATGATTCTGCTTTCCCATATGTTGTTAGGGAACAGGTTACCTGAAATGCATTTGGTATAAACCAATCTATAAACATCAACCTGTAATGAAATTGTAATAAAAATATACTGAGATGAAAAAGATAATAACATGTAAACAGTTTGATAGTTGTCATGGAAAATGGGTGGTTGGATTGCAAGAATTTAGGATGTTTCTCTTGTGCGCTTAAGGAGACTGTCTGGCTATGTGTGTTTTAGTCAGTGTTCTCCAGAGATATAGAACCAAGAGGAGATAGATATATATATAGAGAGAGAGAGAGAGAGAGAGAGAGATTATGACAAATTGGTTAAGTCGTCCCCCGATCTGCCATCTGCAAGCTGGAGACCCAGGAAAGCCATGTGTAATTCAGTCCCGAGTCTGAGGGCCTGTGAAGGAGAGAAGATGCGATGTTGTGGCTCAAGCAGTGAGGCAGGAAAAGAAGTGAATTCCTCCTTCCTTCACCTTTTGTTGTGCTCAGGTCGTCCACGGATCGGATGATGCCCACACACACTGGGGAGGGCAGTCTGCTGAGTCCACTGATTGAAATGCTAATCCCTTCACCCTCACAGACACATCCAGAAATAAGGTTTAAGGTGGGCACCCTGTGGCCAGTCCAGGTGACACAAAGTTACCTATCACAGTCTCTCTGTCATTTGCCGGGCAGGTTGATCCTTGTAGCCGAGGGAAAAATCATCTCCTAGGCCTGGTGGCCTGGTTAATACTGTCACCGTGAGGACCACAGAATATATTTTGGGCTCTATATATTATTATCCCTTCTTCCTCCCTAATTTAAATTCAGATGTGTTTAATTCTTCATGTCTTGCTTTAAATAATAATGGCATTATCCTTTACTTCGTTTTAAGTCTTGCTTGATTTTTCTCTATAAATGTTTTTTTTCTATAAAAGACCATTTTATCTGCTTGAAATATGTCTTCTTCAAGCTCATAGTGAACAACTGTGTTAATAAATATGTCTAACTCTTGTAGAATGGATACTGAGGTGAGCAGTTAGTCTCTATTTTAACCATTAGCACATAATCTGTTAAATTAATTTGGGCATACACTGGAAGACTTGTATTCATCAAAGAATAATAAAGACATTAATTTTCAAACGAGAACTAATTTCTGTGACTTGAACTTCATTTTCTTTTTTAAGATTTTATTTATTTGAGAGAGAGAGAGAGAGCATGAGAGGGGGGAGGGTCAGAGGGAGAAGCAGACTCCCTGCCGAGCAGGGAGCCCGATGCGGGACTCGATCCCGGGACTCCAGGATCATGACCTGAGCCGAAGCAGTCGCTTAACCAACTGAGCCACCCAGGCGCCCTTGAACTTCATTTTCAAGAAAAATGACAGGCTTGTTCTACTTATTATTTTTGAAAATAATTGGCTCAGATGGTTAAGCGTCTGCCTTCGGCTCTGGTCATGATCCTGGAGTCCTGGGATCGAGTCCCGCATCGGGCTCCCTGCTCGGCGGGGAGTCTGCTTCTCCCTCTGACCCTCCTCCTTCTCCTGCTCTCTGTCTCTCATTCTCTCTCTCTCAAATAAATAAATAAAATCTTTAAAAAAAAAAAAGAACACTTTTAAAGATCTAAGTTTTGATGCACCCTCCCTCAATGTGATATCAACACTCTTCCATCAAGAGGCAGGATCCTTGTTCCCTCCCTTTGAATCTGGGCGTATCTTTGTAGCTTCAGCCAGTAGAATGGAGAGAAGTGCCACTGCATGATTTCCAAGCTAGCTGTTAAAGACAATATGAATTCCATCTGTCTCTTTCTTGGGATACTGGTCTTTGGAACCTTGTCACCATGTTGGAAGAATGCCAGGCTACATGGAGAGAACACATTAACCGCCAGCCCCAGCAGCCATGTGAAGAAATGATTCCAGCCCTCTGCATTCACGTGTTCTTGCTGGGGTCCCAGGCATCAGGGAGCCAAGACAGGCTGCCCCCACTGTGCTCTGATTGAATTCAGGACCCACGAAATCATGAAAAAGAAATGACAGTGGTTTAGAGACACTGTTTTTGCACCGTTTGTTATACAACAAGAGATATTGGCAACACTACTCAAAACTAGCTTCACCAACAGTGGAACATCCTGACGTTATGTTCCTCCTAGTGGGCAAAATGGAAAGTAGACAGGATTGCCTATGAAGTATGATTGTCAAAAACATTAAACATGAATCTAAGACAAGCTCTAGCGTCTAGTTTATAGGAACAGGGTATAGAGAAACAAGCCAAATGTCATCATGATGAAATGATCAAACATCCAGATATAAATAATCTGGTCTCTTAAAAACAAGTCAATAACAGAAAAAAAAAATGGTGGGGGGGGGATGCTGTTCTAGCTTTATAAAGGCTTAAGAGCCTAACCAAATATAAACCATCAATCTTGAGGCACCTGGGTGGCTCGGTTGAGTGACCGACTCTTGATTTGGGCTCAGGTCATGATCTCAGGGTCATGGGATCGGGCCCTGCATTGGGCTCCCTGCTCAGCGGGGAGTCTGCTTGAGATTCTCTCCCTCTACCCCTCCCCCTGACTAAATGCACTCTCCCTCAAATAAATAAAATCTTTAAAAAGATTTTATTTATTTGAGAAAGAGTGAGCGAGGGAGAGAGAGAACACGAGGTTGGGGGTAGGGGAGCAGCAGGGAGAGGGAGAAGTGGACTCCCCGTGGAGCAGGGAGCCCGACGTGGGGCTTGATCCCAGAACCCTGGGATCATGACCTGAGCCGAAGGCAGACACTTAACTGATTGAGCCACCCAGGTGCCCCAATAAATAAAATCTTAACAAAACATGAACTTTGGTATTTCACATCTTTATTCATCCATTAATGGACACTTAGGTTGCTTCCATATCTTGGCTGTCGTAAATAATGCTACAATAAACATTGGGGTGCATGTATCTTTTTGAATTAGTGTTTTTATTTTCTTTGGGTAAATACCCAGTAGTGGGATTACTGGATCGTATGGTATTCCTATGCTTAATTTGAGGAACCTCCGTACTGTTTTCCACGGTGGCTGCAGTTTGCATCCCCACGCACAGTGCATGAGGGTTCTTTTTCTCCACATCCTCGCCAACACTTAACTTCTTGTCTTTTTTATTCTAGCTGTTCTGACAAGTGTCAGGTGATATACCTCATTGTGGTTTTGATTTGCATTTCCCTGCTGACTAGTGATGAGCATCTTTTCATGTGTCTGAAGACATGAGTTTCTTGAATTATGCTAGTTGTAAATATTGTTATGTTTGCACACAAAGCAATTTATTTGGCATCTGACTTATGCATGGAGAAATGATATATGTGTCTAAGCTTGGTATCTGAAAAATGTGTCACTTTTAATGAACCCTGTTTTCAAATAAGCTTGGGTAGGACACACCCTCTACAGCTGATTAAAGGGGACAGACTTTCATTTCTTTTTTTTAAAGATTTTTTATTTATTCATTTGAGATAGAGAGCGAGCATGAGCAGGGGAGAGAGGCCGAGGGAGAAGCAGACTCCTCACTGAGCCAGGAGCCCAATGTGGGGCTCGATTCCAGGAACCTGGGATCACGACCTGAGCTGAAGGCAGACGCTTAACTGACTGAGCCATCCAGGTACCCCAGATTTTAATTTCTAATGAAGGTTTAACTTAATTATTATGAGCCCACCTGCTGCCTTTTCTTTTTAGCAACTGTAGTGCAATTTCAGACTGATACTTTAAGTCTAGGGTCAATGCAACGACAATGCAAGTAATTAAAATTTTCTTCTTTCTGATGGGTCAACATGACAATTATAATTTCTGATTATAAACATTTTCTTGCTAGAATGATTGTGGGCTGTGCCTCAGCTGCATATGAAAACTTACAACTCTAATTCTTATTGTGACTCAGAAATCCAATTATTTCTTGGGAATACTTTCTTGGACTCTAAAAAAACAATTCAGCAACATGGTGCATTAAAAACTGGAGCATCAGAAATCTGGGTTCTAGTTCTCCCTCTGCCATTTACTCCCTTTTGGTTCTACCTTCAAAAATTTGACTCCCTTCTCACAAGCTCCATATCAACTACCCTGGTGCCAAATAGCATCATCTCTCCCCTGGATTAATTCAGAGCTTCCTAACTGGTCTCTGTGTTTGTTCTTGCCTCCCTACTGCCTATTCTCCAAAGAACCAAAGTTAGAGTAGGTCACTCTCCCGCTCAAAAACCTTCAGTAGCTCCCCGTTTCTTAGAGAGTAAAAGCCGAGTCCTTACAAAGGCCTGGAAGGCTCTTCATGCATCCCTCCTCCTGGTCCTCTATTTCCCACCTGAGCTCCGGCCACTCCTACCTCCATGCTGTTTCTGGAACAGGCCAAGTAGGAGGCTCCCTCAGGCCTCTGCACTGACTGTTGCCTCTGCCCAGAAAGCTTTTCATCCTTCACCCCTATGAACCCCCTCCTTCCCTCCTTTAATCTGCTCTGATGTCATTTGATTTTTGAGGCCTTCTCAGACCTCGCTGTATCTAAAATTACAACTCCCTTCTGCAATGCTTCCCCTGCCCTACTTTATTCTCCTTCATAGCACGTATGTGTATCTGATGGTCTATGTATGTGAGCAATTTATTTGTCTTTCTCCCCCTACTAGAATATTAACTCCTGGGCCCCCAGCCAATCTAACAGGGCTCGACAGTAGAGGGCGCTAAAGAAATACTCCTGAATGCACATTCAGGGCAACAGTTTGTGGCCTGGGCAAGGGATTTCACCTTTTCATTCCTCCGTTTCTTCCTGAGTATAGTGACATGGTTGAACAAAAATTTCTCTCAGG